CCTTTGAAACTAATGACAATTGAGAGGAAAAAGAGAGAAGAAAAGAAAAAGAAAGAAGAAATCAAAATTAGGGCAGGAACAGGAACAAAAAGGGAGATGAAGGACAATGTAGGGGAGGAAGAGATTAATTGGGAAAAAGAAGAAAGAAAAAAGGAAGAATTTGAAGAGTGGGAAAAATAAAATTTTAAAAATTAAAATTAAAAACAAGAGGAAAAGAAAGAAAAAAAATTGAAGGGCCTCCTTCAGGGTATATCTCTGCTGTCTCAATAGACAACATGGGCATCATGTGAAGAACTAAGTCAATTAGTCTCAGCTAGCCAACAGCAGACCCCTGAGATTCAGGTTGAATTCTGGCTGCAAGGCCAGAGTTGAGCTGCCTGACCTCCTGTAGGGTTAAACTCTGCAAGGTTCTATGGCAGGCTCCAGCTGTCCTTCTCCTGAAGATAGTCCATGTTCTGGTGGAAGGTGGTGATCCCTTCAATTTACCAACTACAGAGGTCTGATTTGCCTTTATTGCAGTTGTTCACTTGCATTCTATCTTCAGGAGCTCAGTACAATGGCCTTCATGACCACTTGTGCCTCTGCAGTGTGGATCCAGGTATTGGCACAACCAGGAGGCTCAAGAGCATGAGGGGAGGGGGAGTGCTGCAGGGGCACCCAAGTGGCTTGGCAGTCCTCACTGGTCTTCTCCGATAAAGGCCCAGGGCACTGGAGGGTGGGGAAGCAGCTAAGCTCCCCATGTTGGCTGAGCAGTCCTCACCAGTCTGCTCTGATGAAGACCCAGGGAGCTGGAGCCAGAGTCATTTTTATTTACTTCCTTTCTAGACTCCAAGTCCCATGAAGATGGAGATTTTGCCTGCTATCTCTAACCCCTGTGCTATCTCTAACCACCATGCTTGTGCATTGTGAGTACTCAGTGCAGTCTTGTGACTGAGTGGTTGGATGAAGACAGATGAACAGGTCAATGGATCTGGGCCAGTGTGTCACTGGCTGGCATGCTGCCCCTTCCCTGGGCCATGTGGTTGACCTCTCACTCACTAAACCCCTTGTCCACCCTCTCCTTGGCCTGTCTGACCTGTTCCAGTCACAACTTCCATGTTGTTTCTCAGTCTTCTCTGAATCCCTCAGAACAGCTTTCTTCTCCTACTGCATACCCATTATAGCAGTCAGAATCCTGGGCAGGTATGCAGTGGAGTGACAGAAAGCCCAGCCTGGGAGGTGAGGCTACTTCCTCTCCCCCAACACCTCCACCCTGAAGAGCCCTCTTGGGTGGCTGAGGGGAGACTCAGATGCAAATGTTAACTGTGACTCGAGAGGAAGCTGCAGAGACACAGGATTAGCTTCAACAAAACTTCCAGTCTTGGCAACTAAATTCAAATCAAATATAATTTTCATATCAATTCAACGAGTCTAGGCAAAAGAGCGGAGGGATTTTCTTCTTGAAATCATAAAAGGAATGGAGAAGACATATGAATTCTAACAGCTGAGAATTAATGAGATGAGGAAAGATTTGGGGATCAGGAAAAATCCACTTGGAGCGGGCGTCTCTTCCTGATGGTGAAGGAGTGCCAGGTGCTGCTGCCATGGCGACAGGTCAGAGTAGAAACCAGTGCCAGGCTCCTCCCCATCAAACACCGTGGCTGTTGTTCTAGCAGGAGAGGGTCACAGGCACAGACAAAGGTAGACAAAGGACAAGACATGTGTCCCCAGCCCAGCTCCCTTCAGCTCTGGTTCTTACAGCACTATGGCTTTAAATGACTATTCTCAATTTGTCATCTCTGACATTTCTGGGGTCAGCAATTTAAGAAGGGCTTGGCCAAGGAGATCTGGTATGGGGCCTCTACTACTCTTCTAGCTGGTAGCTGGACCAACCAGGTAGCCCATGGGGCTTCTGTGTTCATCAGCTTTGTGTTATGGTGACAACATTTCCAAGGGAATCAAATTAAAGGCCAATGAATTATTTTGACTCAGTTTTAGAGTTCTGGTACATGGTCAGCTGACCCTTGCTTTGGGGACCATGGTGAGGAGGCACATCAATGCAGAGAAAAATGCTCACTGTCATGATGGCAGAGAAGCAAAGAGAGACAGGAAGGGATGGAGGCTCTATCACCTTCTGAACTCCACCCCCAATGACCTCACTTTCTCCCACTGGGCCCAGCTCCCAACAGCACCAAGGACTGGGACTAAGCTTTCCACAATGGACCTGTGGGATCCCACATTCAGGATCCCAGAGACAGCGACAGCACTCTTCACATGGCCTTGGAGCTTTCTAGCTGGACCGGCTTGGGTCTCTTCCCAGCAGGACCACCTCAGGACAGTCCAGCTTCTGCCCAGGGCTCAGGGCTCTAGGACCAGTGCCCATCCCACCTGCAGTAGGCCCAGTATGGGACTTTGGGAGGTCAGCTGCATTGTCAGGGGAACAATGACAAGAAAGCAGCCATTTTTAAGAGCTCTTAGAATTCTTCCTTCCCACACCAGCAGCAGAACAAGGGCCATCCAGGTAGAGAGGCTGCTGGGTTGGGTCTGTTCTGTGGAATGGTCCTGTCCGGGAGAATGTTCTTCTGTGATAGCAATGTCCTCCACCTCCCCAGGGACCTCTATAAGAGCCACAGCCACTTAAGGTTCTAAGCCCTGGACATGTGGCCAGTGCCACTAAGGAACTAAATTTCCACCTACATTTCAGTGCAGCTCACTTAGACTTCAATTCAGATAGCCAATTGGGCTAACAGCTGCCACATCGGACAGTGTGGGGCAGAAGTCAGGGCTTCAGCCCACAAAGAGAAACAGAAGTTGAAAGGACAGAAAATTGCAGGCTAGGGGCCACTGAGCCCATCCTGCTGGTTCATCTTCCTGCCCAGTGCCCCAGGAAGGAGAGGGGTGCATGGACACATAGGCTGACTCCGGGGAGGCAGGCAGAGGTTTAGTCCAATAATTCTTCAGCTAGAGTCCATCGGTGCAATTATGTAAGTGAGCAAAATAAGGTGCAGTGGCGTGGGGAAGGAAGGACCACATTCATCACTGAAAACTGGAAGAACACCATTGATTGAGGGTATAGAAAATATCAGAAACAGTAAGCAGATTCACTGAGGTAGTTACAAAATCAACATATCCAATCAATATTTTTTATATAAAACAGCTAAGAAGGTATGGAAAGAAAGAGGCTCATTCTCAAGAGCAGCTGAAAATATAGAATGTCTAGAAAATACAATAGGAAAGGCCTTCTGTGAAGAAAATTTTAGTGACACAAAATAAGAGGTAGTAATGGGAGAGTCAGACCTTCCTGCCAGGTAGGAAGACTTCAAGTTGTAAAGATGTCAATCCTGTCCAAATCAAAATTCTAATTGAGTTTTTTGACAAAAAAAAAAAAACTCAAATTGAACTTGACAAAAGTACTCAAAATATGAACTGATACATCCATGGAAGAGAACAGAGGCTCCAGAAATAGGCCCATGAATATATAAGTGTTTAATAGCTGATAAAGATGGCATGAAAATTAGGGGAATGATGGATTATTTAATAAATGCTATTGGGATAAACGTATAACCATTTGGAAAAAATAAAGCTGAATCTCTACTTTCTTATACTAAAAAAAAAAAAATCCTAAAGCATTAAAATTCAAATGTCAAAAATGAATCTAAAAACGTAATAGAAGAAAACGTGGGTGAATTTTTTTTTATCTTGGTGTGAGAAAAGTCTTTCTAAGCATGACATAAAACCCAGAAGCCAAAATGGAAAAGACTGACAGATTTGACTGCGTGAAAGCACAGGACTTCAGTTCAGCAAAATACCCATTTCAAAAGATAAAAGACACACTGGGAACAATTATTTGCCATCCAGAAGCTAGACAAAGGTCAAGTTTCCCTAATAGATGAAACACTCTCACAATCATTGAGGAAAAATTACAACACAATAGAAAAATGGACAAGGTAGATGGGCAGGCCATTTATCAAAGTCCAAACACCCCCCCAAAAGAGGACACATGAAAAGAAGCCCGATTTCACTATGAATGAGAGAAATGAAAATTAAATCACGAATACATTATACTTACCACCGCTACTGGAAAGAGTGACTAAACTAGAATACCCATTGCTGGTAAGGAAATGAAAGAGATTGAAAGTGTGTGCTGAGGCAGCTTCTGTGGGGACCATGTGGTGACAACACAGGTCATTTGCAGAGCTTTTTGCCTGACAGTTCAAGCTCTAGGAATTTATCTTACCCTCACACTTACTCAAAGGTGCATGTGCAAGAGTGGCACTGCAGCCCTGCACATAATATAGGATTTACACACACACACACACACACACACACACACACACAGAGGGTCAAATGTTTGTGTCAAGAGGAACTGGTAATCACATCCCAGCAAGGGACTACATGCCACAAGGGTGCACTGGCTTGAAAAATATCCACCTTGCTAAGAGGGAAAAGGCTGGAAGTATCTTCAGGACCCTTGGTTCAGTCGAATACCATCCATCTTCGGGTGCCACACAAGCCCCCAATCTCCTCTTTGTTTCATGATGGTCCCAGTCACCTCTGACAGTCCCTAGATCACACCAACTCTGTGCACCCCAAACTTAGCTGCCGTTGCCTGAGTACCTCTGGCCTTTCTTGGCTGGCTGGACTTTTGCACCACCTCCTCCTGGAAGCCCTCCTGACCATGACAGATCCAGCGTTCTCCCCTCCCTCCTTGCCCACCGTGCTCCAGGCATTTTCTTGATAGCACCCATTGTGTCCTAAATTATTTTGCTTCTTTTTTTCATCACATGCCTTACCCCTAATGTAACCTCTGGCGGGGGCTGGAACCGTATCCAACACACCCCACCCCAAGGCCACCGTGACTCAGTGGGGGAACAGTCCAGATCCTTGCCAAGGGTCTCTAACGACCTCTAGCCTTCCCTTCTGTGGCACTCACGCTCCACAGGCATCAGGGTCTGCTAATCGCCTCCTTCTTGTGGAGCTGCCCTGGTGCTCTGTCCCTTGTCCCCATGCCAGCCTCTTACTAGAGCTGTTCATGAAGCCCTGCTCTGCCAGGCGGTGGTTCAGGTGATGAGCAGTGAAGGGGACAGATGTGCTCCGCATCCTCCCGGAATTCTGACAGGTCCCCCAGACACAGCAGGACATCCTAGGGCTGGGGGCAGAGAAGTATGCAGGGATCAGCCCACAGCTCTCGGCAGCCTCTGAGGGAGGACACTGGTCACCAGCGCTTTCCAAAGCTTCTGGCAGGGGTGTGGAACACAGACGGAGGCTGAGGGCCAGTCAGGGACAAAATGGTCTCTGTGACAAGGGAAACAAGACAGGGACAAGAAGGGTGTGGGTGGGAAAGACATAGGAGGTGACACTGCTGAGACCCTAAGGGAGGGGGAGGAAGAGTCCGTGCTGACTCCGGTCCTGGCTATGGGCCCTGGGTAGGGCTAGTCCTAGGATGGCAGGAGAGGACAGTGGGGCTGGAGGCACCTGTGACCCAGGGCAACAGAGCTGTCCAGCGTGGGGCTTAGAAAACGTGCTGGGGATAGGAGGGGGTGCTGGCTGGTGCGGGTGTGGGGGGAGGGGACTAAGGAGGGCAGGGTGAGAGAGCCAGTGGAGCCCAGCCCTGGGACACCTAGCAGAACAGTGCCCCCCCGGATGACAGCAGAGGAGTCCTCGGAGGGTCAAAGTCCTAGAAGCCACGTGGCCCAGGAGTGCCCAGGCAGCTCTGGCTGCAGAGTAGCTCTCTGTCTTCTGCAGAAGCTGTGGTGTGAATCCCAAAGCTGCTGCAGAAGGGGAGCCCCAGGTGGATCCCCAAGGATGGCTCTCTGGGCTCCTGGAGCTGCTGTGTGACCAGGATCGGGTCTGGCCGCAGGAGCCCCCTAGACTGCTCAGCCTCGAGCCCCACTTCCTCTGCTGCACACCTGCTCTGGGGGCCTGATGGTATGTGACAGCTGTGCCTGGGTCATGCAGGGCCAGCACAGGGGCTTCTTGGGGCTGGAGACATGTGAGTCAGGCCTCCAAGCCGATACAAACTCAGGGAAAGCACACCATAGCATTTCTAGCTGTGCTTTTCCCGCTAACGGCTTCTGCTAAGAGCAAAAGTCATTGTGTTCATTGGTTTTGCTAAGAGAACATAATGCAATTTTTTAAAAAGGACAATAAGGACCTAAATGTGGGATCTGGCACCCCCTATTGTCACAGGGCATTTGGCAAAAAGGAGATTCATGCTAAGGGAAAGGCATGACTAATAGGAAGAACAGGACTGGTTACAGCAACCCCGTGCTGGATCCCAGAGACAAATCAGGCCTGAGGACCCCTGTCCCACTCATGAAACGACTCCAGGCAGCCAGCTGCAGTGGCAGAGTCCTTGTGAGGACCACGGGTGTGGCCGGGGTCCCTGAGAGAGTGGACTTTCTTGCTTCTCCCCAAAGTGGTGTGTTACAAACACAGGCTTCTCTCACTCCGGGCTGGAGTTTCCAGACTCCAAGCTTGTGCTGGAAACAACCGAGGTGGGCACCGAGTTGCTCAGGTCCCCACCAGGGAGGAAATCACCCTCCTCCACCAACTGCCCTCACCCTTAGCCTCCTATGAGGTCACCACACGCACCTTCCACGGCCCCAGGAGGAGCACTGCCTGGGTTCTTGACTGACCCACTCTCAGGCCTGGCCACCTCCCTACCTGAGCCCCGCACCAGCCACGGAGCTGCCACCGTGTTTGCACTGAGGCCCCTCATACCCCTCCATCCCTTCCTGCTTCACCCTCCTGGCCACAGGCCTGGTCCCCAAGGCCCTCCTGATGCACATCCTGCTTGCTGAGCGCTGCCTGAACTTCTCCTGCCTGCACCACTCAAAGCAGGTAGGAAGAACAAGGCTCCCTTCTGAGTTGGAGAGAGGCCATGAAGAGCCATGTGCTCCTCACCACAACCACAGGTGGACCTGCACCATCTTTCCTGCACCCTGTGCCAGCCAGGACGTCAGGAAGCCGCACTAGATACAAAGCCATGGCCGGGACTCCCCCGCTTCAGCCCAGAAGGTGCAGGCAGATTCTCACCGTCTGCCACCGCTCATTGTTGGAGGAAAATGCCACATCCCAGCCATTTGTTCAGAAGGAATTAGATCGTCACCTCCCAGCTAATGAACCCAGGCTGTGCAAACAGAGGCCCCGTGCACGCACATGTGTGAGAGCGGCCCCCGCCCAGCTGGCTGGGAACCTCCCCGGTGTGCTGTGTGTCCAGATGTGCAGGGATCCCACGCAGGCTTTGCTTCTGGCTGAAGAGAAGGGCACTGCTCTGTCCAGGTGCACAGCACCATGATCCCCAACCCACCCCGGGCTCTGCCCCACTTCGGGCTCCTCACGGGGACCCAGGGGCCCTTTCTGCTAGTGGAACCACGCCCCTTCCCCCTCTCCTTGGAGCCATAGACCCAGCCACATGGGTCTTCTTCAAGCTGCTTTAAATTAAGATATAAAGCATATGACTTAAAAGTTATATTTGAAAATGGACACTTGAGCAAATCCTTATATATTCACAATCTTCCCTCACTCCCAGAGACACATTACACCCTGTAAATTGGTCCCTATTGCTCCTTCTCTGGCCCTGTGTGTCATTACTCAGCTGTCTGCTTCTGTGGGTGACCCACCCTGGACAATTTGTATAAACAGAGTCACAGGATAGATGATCTTTGGTGACCGCCTCTTGTCCTTAGCGTAATGTTTTCAAGACTTAGTACTTGAAATAGGAAGTAGCTCACCCCAACATTTATGCATGGAGCACTAGAGACTGAACCCAGGGCCTTTGCACTGAGTTAAGGTACTTGGGCTGTCTCTACCTTTTGGCTATTAGGAATAATACTGCTGTGCATAACTGCATTAACTTGTTTTACACACAAGAATTGACTGCTGGACTGTGATGATTCTATGTTCAATCTTTCATTTGTTTGCTTGTTTTTTTTTTTGTATTGTTTCTTTGACACAGCTTCTCACTGTGTACCCCAGGCAGGCTTTAAATCTGTGATCCTCCTGCCTGAGCCTCCTGAGTCCTGGGATTACAGGCATGTGCAACCACATCCAGCTCTCTGTGTTTTACCTTCTTGAGAACTACCACCATTTTCCACAACAGCTGTATCTCATGGGCTTGTTTTACATCCCCTAACGACCAGAGTTTTGTTTTTTTTGTTTTTGTTTTTTTACAAACTTACCACCATCTGTGTGTCTTCTTTGGAGAAATGTCTATCTGTATCTTTTGTCCATACTCCAGTTGGGTTACTCATCTCTTTATTTTCCAGTTGTGAGAATTCTTTATATTTTCTGGATATTAGACCCTTACCAGAAATATGATTTATATGTTTTCTCCAATTCTGCAAGTTGTGTTTTTACCTTATTGATAGTGCCTTTAAATGCAAAAAAAAAAACCCAAATTCTATGAAATCTAATGCATTATTTTCTTTGTTTGCCTGTGTCTTTGCATCATAGCTGAGACGCTGCTGCATGATACAGGTCACATGGATTTTCCCCTATCCTTCCTTCAGTGGCTCAGTGGTGCGGTGTTTGCCCAGCGAGCACAAGCTGTGGTTTGGGACTCCAGCACTGAAAAGAAGGAGATGCTCTTGCTCTTCAAAAGAAGCCATATTAAAGTGTTAAAAGGCACCCAAGGTTGGGAGACGTTTATATCAAACATACAAGGTATGATCAAAACTTTCAACTCTCATAGCTTTAGCTCTTAATCCACCTGACATTGATTAGCATGTGGAGTAGGAGGAAGGAATCCCAGCTCATTCTTTTGTGTGTTCATCATCAGCTCCCCTCAGTCAACAGTGCTGTCACCTTTGCCAAAACTCCACTGTCCGTAAGTGATCTTGAACATCCCTGTACTCTCAGCACCTGTTGCGGGTCTCTGTGCTGTTCTTACACAGGCCTACACTGCAGCTCTTCAGTAAGTCCTGACATTGGACAGCATAAGTCCTCCAATTTTGCCCTTCCCCAGGCTTCCTTGGGCTATTTTGTATTGTTTGAAATTCCATAATGCACATGGCTTGTGACAAGGGATACAAACTCAGTACATCTGGGGCCAGCCACCTTTCCTAAGTTAGCAAAGTGCTCTGGGTCATACTCTTTGACACACAACTTGATTGTACCCTAAACACTCAACAAAGGTTGTTTCTTGCAAATAGAAACGTACAGTGCACAAGGACACTCCCTCCCCCACCTGCTGTGTGCTCAGGAATGGCCACAAGAGTGGCCCGAGTTCCAATCAGGAGACACAGCCCATGTCTACTGGGGACTTCTGGGAACTGATCACATGATAAGAAAAGAAGCTAAATTCTGTGTCAAGGCCAGCATGAGGGTGGGGAAAGAGAGGTGCCCAGAATGCCAGACTGAAGGAGGAGATCCACCCTCAAGGTCACACAGGTACCGGTGCAGCTTCAAGGGCAGGTGCCTTCTTAAATGTGCCACCCTACTCAGAACCTCAAGGTGTTATGTATGGAGTTAAGCAGCTACCCGGAAACACAGGCAATAAGACTGAGGGCAAAGACACTCCCAAGGTAGAGCGGGAAGGCACAGCCTAAGGGCTCTAGTGACGCTCTCAGGGCAGCCTTTGCAAGGTTCTTACTCTGAGGGATGGTTCCTAAAGCCCTAGAAAGCTGAATTTTGCTCTCTTCTGCCAAAATAATTTCTAGTATATTGATTTAGGATAAGTAATCTGACTTTCCCATGTAAAACCACATTCTTAAGTTCTGTAAGTGGGTTAAGGACCTCATCAAGGATAATGTCCTTAGCATCAGGATGCAGTTCAGTGGTGCAGTGCCTGCCCAGCAAGCACAAAGTCTGGATTGGGACTCCATCACTGAAAAGAAGGAGATACTGGGCTGAGGCTTTAGCTCAGTGGTACCACTGCCTGCCTAGCAAGCGCAAAGTCAGTTGGTTCCCCAGTACCAAAAAAGAAAAAAGGAGATGCTCTTGCTCTTTAAAAGAAACCACTTAAAGAGTTAAAAGGCATCCAAAGTTGGGGGGAAATTTTTATCAAACATATGAGGTGTGATAAAAAAATATGGTGAAATTTTGAAAAACTCATTCCAGTAAAAGACTCATTGCCATTAATCCCCCTCAAAATCCTC